CCCCCCCCCCCCCCCGTAAATATAAACCTAACTTATTTTTCAATATCTCCCTTGGTGCGGAAAGTTGGAATCTTATGTGGAGCCGCACTTTGCATAACAATTTGTAAACCCATGAACGCGTTGAATAGAAGCCTAATTTCAAACCAGTTTTTCAAATACGGCGACTAAGATATTGAATATACTTCTATTATGTACAGGATCTTTTTTTTAATATCACAAGCTTTATTTTTTGTCTGACACTTTTTTTGTACAATGAATATTTTAGAGAGTATTAATGAAAAACGAGTTTTTGCATAGTTTTCAAGATGGCGACCTAAATATGTTCGATCGTCAAAAAATTCTTTCAGTATTCAGCGATGAAAAATACAGCAAAATCAAGTTTCAAAGAAAACGAGGAGAAGGAATTAACGTAAAAGTTCATTAAAATTATTAAATTGCTTGTCAAGTAATATTACTACTATTATTGCGTTTCAAAACCGAAAAAGATTTCAACGCGCGGTTTACAAAATCAGATATGTATGTGTCAGATATGTAAATTTACACTAAAATATTTAAACATTAATATTTACTTTTACCTAATATAAGATTTCTCTTATTTAGTTAGATTTATTCTTATCCGTACAAATTCACATCACATTTGTTTAGATTTTAGACATATCTACACAAAAAAGTTGCATTTTCTTCAAAAATAAAATTCTTGTTTTATCATAATTTAAGAAAAAAGTTGAAAGTAGTAAAGTGTTTATAAAAAAGCGTTTCTATCAATATATATTATTATATTAAGAGTATTACTTTCAAATTAATCAAATAAATAATGTTTTAAACATTGGAGCCACCATTTCTAAAAATAATATTTTGAGAAAAGTGTATTTCAACGTCTTAAGAGATAAAAATTTTGCAATATTTACGATTTACTTACAACTATTTATCTATACCAATTTAAATTTTATAACTTTAATAAAAAAAATATGTAGTGATAAGAAACAGTTTTTAACTTTTTTTCAAGTTCTTTAATTTCTTAAATGCTTTGCACTTTAATCACAATAAGTATACAGTTTAGTCTAACATGAAAAATTGCTGCTTTCAATTATTTTAGGTGTAACAACGATGCTCAACTTTTTCACCACGTCAAATGGCTTCCGGGGAACGCTGCCTGTCGTTTCAAACTTGACTGCCATGAACGTATGGGATGGGGTATGCATGTGTTTCATCTACGCGAGTCTTCTCGAGTTCGTCTGCGTGAATTATGTCGGTCGCAAACGGCCGATGCACAACGTTGTCTATCGTCCGGGCGAGAATCCCGTTACCCAGGTACTTTGCTGATTGATGTATTTTGAATCATTTTATTCGTTACATATGTATGACGCGTAAGTTGTATTTTTATTTCGTAGATATTCAGATGCGATACGAATTTAAATGAAGCCATACTGTTTTTTTCGCACAATTAACGCAAAATTATGTAACTTGACATAAATTATTATAAATCATTTTTAGACAAATATATTTGGGATCGGTTTAAAAGTCAATTATCGATTATAATAACATGATCTGTAAACTCTCCCTCTCCTCCCCCTCTTCCCCCTCCCCCTCTTTTTCTCCTCCTTCCCCCCTCTCCCCTCCCCACCCCCTCTCTCTCCTGAGATGTGCAAACCTTTCAGATTATCAATTATATTCATCTAAAATTATACACGCGCACACATACATACTACATACAGTTACTACGTGCAGTTAATTATATTTATGGTATATATAAATATATTAGAACATTAAAATATTTTAAACCGATCCTTATAATGAACAATTAATTTTTCTTACTGGATAAACAAATTAAATTGTATTTTACAAAAGAATTATTCATCCTACTGTTTGCTAGTGTTAACAAGTGAATGAAAATATTAATCATCGGTTTTTTTTCAGAATATAAATGCATTTGTGCAACTAAATTGATATAGAAAGACATCTGACATTAGCTAATGTCTACAAGTTATAGCGCCACAAACTTTTACATAAAACATAATGCATAGGCATAAAAAAATCAAAGTTTCTCTTTTTCGTGAAATGGAAGGAAAGAAAGAAGTCTGATTAGTTGATTCTCTTAAACACTGTGCGTTATGCGTTATGCAAAAGTCTATGCTGCGGCTTTATGATTTTGTGACAAGAAAATAGATGAGTATCACGCGATAATATTATTGATGTTAGATAAGATTAATCAATATTGACAATATAATCTTGATGAAAGGGACAACCTTCTCTTCAAATGAGAAGAGAACAAACTCTATAAATTTCACTTAAAGCTCTAATATAGATTCCACAAGACTTTATATTAAATTTAACTCATAAAACTAGAGTTTTGCGCATTCATCCCTCTAATTTCTCGAAGATATAATTCGCAAGAAGATTACAATAAGAAAATAATTTTTTATATCAAAAATAGAATGAGATATATGCCAGGTTAACATACATATTAGATATTGGAATCTTTCATCATATGACTGATTTTTAATATTGTCTTACGCATCGCAAATGCGTAAAAGATTACGATCACAGATTATGTTATAAATTCGATGAAAAATACTGTAAATTCTGTAAATTCTCAAATTTATTATTTTTAAGATTATTACCGAATCAATAATTATTATCGAATTATTTATACAAAAAACATTCGTTTATGCCATGATGCATTCTAAGTTTATCAGAAATAGATTTTTCATGAAGTTCGATACTTGTTTATCACACTGTTTGTTCTTTTACTGCGTATACATTTTGCACACAAAAATTTGTGATGCGACTTTGCACAAATACAACATATATTTTTTTCTTTGCAGCTTTCTCAAGATTTCTTCATTTATATAATTCTTTTATTCATATTTTTTCCAGAGAGTGTGAGTACATTTTCTTGCGTTTCAATCAATACTCCTCGTAAGCCACGAAAGAATCGCGCGGATTGTGCCCACTGAAACATATTACTACCGAAACAAACGCTAGCGCTAGTTTCGCGATCCGACAAAGAGTGTTTCAAATAGTATTTTTGTCTTTTTCTAACTTATACTTAGTTATGACTGCATATGGACAGTACCGTGTATTACACATGCGCAATTAAAATTGAGTATAAGTTAGAAAAAGACAAAGATATCTTAGGACGCTCTCGCCCGGATCATTCTTAACGAAGGCGGCATAAGACCAGGCTCATCCTAATAATATTTCAGTATTGTATTTTAGTGATTGTACCGCATCTTTATCGTTAACAATCAATCAATCGGTCTTCAAGGTACATTCGACAACATATATCATATCGACATACGTATTCAGTTACATAACTATTATTACGCAAATACTTTGTATTTAAAACACGATCATTTAAAAGAATTACTTTAAAAAGGTAGACAGAGGATGATTTACTCATAGTTAATTAGAATAATTCAACATGCTGTAAGTTTAAGTAACATACCCGGTAAAATTTTTTCATGCATGAATATATATAAACCCAGACACCACACGACATCCATTGGACATCCAAACTTGGTTTCAATCTAGTCCAAACGTCCATGGACTTAGTACGAATGTTTTAAAAACGTATGTTATTCAACGTATAAAGTATGTTCAAATTTGGACATTTTAAAAATATTCATTCCATACAAAAAATTTTCTAAATCTGCTCGCGACGTGTTGCTTTCGCTGATTTGACAAGTGAAAATTTTTTTAAGATCGCACGAGGAACTTTTGTTAGTATGTACGGACATCTTTTGAACGTCCCATGAACGTCCCTAGGACATCTGTGCTGTGATAAACATTTTCAACGACGAAAAATCTACCCAGATAACCAAGCGTGTGATGTCCCACGATATCCTCACAAAATACCGCTACCATACTGTTACTGTACAGGATAACTGGTACTGTGAAAGTACAGCGTATGATTTCCTAACCTGAAAATAGTCGTAATAACATTAAGATTAAATATTAGACAGTAACTGACTGGATGTTCAGTTGAACTGCACAAATTTCTATTAGGAACATATTGAACAGATGTATCGTAATTATACATCCATGATTATATAGGTATTCGTGGATCATCGAAGTGTAGTGGTTTCCATACGATTTCAGAAGTCAAATATAGTGGATGGCGGTATATAATCGGATGGGCGACCGCTTCGAAGCACTATGAAATTAGTTCCAGAATTCAGGGAAAAACGTTTTTTTTTATTATAATTTTATGATGTGTATTATGGAATAAGATATTAATCAATAATAATACTCATATAAGAATCATTTTGTCTTGATTGTGGTCTAAAATTTGTTTAATGTATTAATTTGGTCCAGTTTTAGTCCATTGCGTCCTAAAACGGATGTTTTTGAAACGTTTTTAAAATATTCACGGATCTAATCTGGATGTTTTAATATGTCCAAAACGTCCAACATGTACGTTTTAAATACATTTTTAAAACGTTACTGTGCTGTCTGGGACATACATAAATATTCATAAACATATACAGGGTGTCCGAAAAGTGTGGAAACGGTCGAATATCTCGAGAAATACACATCGGATCAGAAATTTGAAAATATACGTATTCAATGTTTTCAAAAAAACTATCTTTTGACATCTAACATGACCCCCCCACCTCCACCCGCTGTGGGTGAAAGAGAGGGTAAGTTTAAAATTTTAAATGGGAACCTCCATTTTTTATTGCAGATTTCGCTTCTTCAGAAAAAGTTACATAAATTTTACCTATTACAAACATTTTTTTGATGACAGATGGCGCTGTAATCAGCGAAATTAAAAAATGAGTCTAAAACGTTTAAAATATTTCAAGAAATACTCAAAGGATCAAAAAAATAAAAATGTACGTATTCAATGTTGCCAAGAAAGCTATCCATTGACACAAAAACTCTATCCCCCACCTACCATCCGCTGGGGGTGAAAGGGTAGGTAACTTTAAAATTTTAAATGAGAAAACCCCCATGTTTTATTGCAGATTTCGCTTCTGCAGAAAAAGTCGTATTAACCCTTTAACGCCGAGATGTGCTGAATTTCGACATGGATTTCAACCCCCAACAATTAGCAGAAAAGAACGTAGACAAGTATCGGAAGGTCCATTTGTATGTAATAAAGTATCAGAAACGTGTTCCCGATAGAAACTTCGAAAACGTGTACTGTATACAATTTTCATTTTTCGATTTTGAGTTCACAATGGCGCCTATAAACTCAAAATTTTTCGAAATTTTACGTACGGCGAGTAAATTTGCAAAAAATATGCCCGAATTCGATTGAAACTTGTTACTCGGGGATTTTTGGGATCGCTGATTACGAATGTGAAGTCAGAATCCAAAAATTCAACTTGACGTACCTTCAATGGCTTTGACAGAAAAAGAAAAAATCAAAATCGAAAAGTTATCCGCCCATCCACCAGAGTGAGAATATGCTCCGTTGAGTATTTCTTGAGATATTTTAAACGTTTTAGACTCATTTTTTAATTTCGCTGATTACAGCGCCATCTGTCATAAAAAAAATGTTTGTAGTAGGTAAAATTTATGTAACTTTTTCTGAAGAAGCGAAATCTGCAATAAAAAATGAGGACTCCCGTTTAAAATTTTAAACTTACCCTCTCTTTCACCCACAGCGGGTGGGGGGTCATGTTAGATGTCAAAAGATAACTTTTTTAAAAACATTGAATACGTATATTTTCAAATTTCTGATCCGATGTGTATTTCTCGAGATATTCGACCGTTTCCACACTTTTCGGACACCCTGTATAATGATATATGAAATATGTCCATACATGTTCATACATCCCTCTTTCTTTTGTAAAATTACTTTTTAGTATAATAGAAATAATAATAGTAATGTGAAAACATAAAAAATAATAAAGGTATAATTTTCGTGTCAGAAAAATACAAATTTGGAAAAATGTAAAAAAAATTGCTTATACACAATTATGGATAGTTGCTTATATAAAATTATGCATAATTTTATATATAATTATACATAAGTAAATTTTTTATATTTCTTTAAATTTGATTTTTCCTAAAACAAGTAGTGAGAAAATTATCCTTTTAATTATTTTTAATGTTTTTACATTACTATTATTGTCTTTATTAAACTAAAAAGTGATTTTACAAAAGAAAGTGAAATGTATAAACATGTATGGACATACACTACGCAACAAAATTATTGCAACAAAATTTTTCATCGAAATTTTGCTATTTTTCAAATGCGCATAACTCGGTCAATTTTCATCGTATCAAGGCGATTTTTTTTTCATTTTGTAGATAATTATCTGTATTTTAAGAAAAACTTGATGCGAAATTAGGTGCAA